ACCCAATCCATCCATCCATCCATCCATCCATCCATCCATCCATCCATCCATCCATTCATCCATCCATCCATCCATCCATCCACCCATATATCCATCCATCCATCCATTCATCCATCCATCCCTCCATCCACCCATATATCCATCCATCCATCCATTCATCCATCCATCCCTCCACCCACCCATCCATCCATCCATTCAGCTAAGAGACCGATGAGATGACATATAGTCACCTGTGCGACTCTGTCCTGTAGTCCTGCTGTGATAAAAAGTTCCTCCTGCTCCACATCCAGGATAAACTGGGGCTGGATCGGCTTCGGTAGGTCCTGCAGAGAACAAACAAACAAACAAACAAATGAATAAACATCAGTTTCAAAGTGCATCTATGTTTTGGTACAAGTAATTATGAAAAAAGGCTGAATTTCACACAAAGGATTTTAAGAGTAAAGATACTTAAACAAGAATTTTTAGAGAGCATGTTTTTGGCAATACCAACAGGGTGGATGCATTTTCAGGACTAAAAAAAATGTTGTGTTTTCTGTTTCCCAACTGACCCTATAGATAGAAAAAACAGCCGACCCTCCATGATCTGACACCTGAGTGATAAAACGTTGCACAATTGGTTTTGTAACATTGACACTAAAAATAAAAGCGTCTTCATGCAAGTTTTACTTTGTAAAAGTTGGATCACTAGATATCACCAAATTTTAAAAAAAGAGAGGAAAAAAGATTATCCCGACCCTAACTATTGTCTGAAACAGGAAACACAACATTTTTTCCCTAGGCCTCATTAAAAAGCATTCAATCCATCAATCATCATACGAATCCGTCTGACCTTGTCAGTGAGGTTGAAGAACTGCATGAGGCACTTGAGCGTTGCCGTGACGATGGCGCTGCTTCCCGCCAGGCCGACCTGCCGCGGAATGTTGGTGTCATATTTCAGTGTGAAGTTCCGTTTGGCGAGCGCGATGCCCCGCGTGGAACAGTACTGGTAGAACTTCTTACATGTGGCCTGGAGCAGCCGCAAACCCCCCAGGTATCTGCAAAAACATTGAGCTTATTTTTAAGCAAACAAGTTACAAAAATTTCATTTCGATAGATAAACAACTTCAGGGTTAATAAGCAAGAGGTGTGTATTTTTCCCCCTTAGATAAACTTTTATGCCAAAATGTAAACGCATTTCTCCAGCAAATTCATTCATTTGTTCATTCATTCATTCATTCATTCATTCATTCATTCACTCACTCACTCACTCACTCACTCACTCACTCACCCACTCACTCACTCACTCATTCATTCATTCATTCATTCATTCATTCATTCACTCACCCCTCCTTCCTGCTCTGACAGTGCAGGTCGCTCAGGCTGCCAAACTGGGTCGGGTCACACAGGGGGTTAGGGGTCAGGACGACACGCTCGCTCTCCGAGATCGTCACCTCCGCCCAGAAGTTCGCGATCGTCATGGAGATGGTCTTGCCATAGAAACCGTCGGACGGGTTCCCGATCAGCCCGATCCTTTAAGTCAGAGGAAAAATAAAGCAGCAGAAATCTAGTCATTCACTTTACTGTATATAATAATGAACTGGATAGGTACACATTTGCAAAGCAAATGCATAATCTTTACCTTCGCATATGGTCTGCTCTGTTAATTCTTACTCATACACAGTGACTGTCATGGTCAGACAGGAGTCTAAATCCCTCCTGCTATTAAATTGCAACATCATGTAACTCAACACCAGTTACCATGGTGACAGACATCTGGTTCAGGTCATTGCAATTGACTTTATAATCATTTGCTTGGAAGAGAAGAAGAAGAAAAACAGCTGTTTAACAGCACCCTACCTAACTCGACAGTTGCATAGTTATCAGTTATTTCCCTACCTAGCGTATGCCCTTGCCGTGATAACTTTCCATGCTGCCTGTTCGTACTCAGTCCTGCCACTTGCTACAGAATGTAACCCAACACCACAGGGTGTCTGCTACACACAGTTACTAGTACCATTATGGTGACAGCTGTCTTGCCCAGTTAGTGACATTTGTACTTTGTTTGGAAGAAGAAGATTAAAAAGAAGAGGAAACATTGGTGGTGTTGGGTTACCTTTGACCCAGTGTTGACGTCACACTTCAAAGAAGCCATGTGACAAGCTTCACTGGGTCAGTCTACTGAGGAAGACCAGAGTGACTGGTCGAAAGCTCTAGGTGAGAGAACTTTTTGTGTTGGACCAAAAGTTCTAACTTTAAACATCCCTAAATAATTTCATCAGGTTGGTGGAACTTAGGTATTTCTTTTTACACAATCGGTAAATTCTCACCAAACGTCAGCAAAGTGAGAATTTACCGGTTGTGTAAAAAGAAATACCTGTCTCCTAACTTTAAACAGTTCCTCACCTAGCGTATGCCCGTGCCGTGATGACCTTCCTTGCTGCCTGTTCGTACTGTTTGCTGGAGAAGAAGCTGAGCCATTTCTCGTAGTCCGCTAGCCCGACCTGCCCAATCAGCTGGAACCCTGTCGGCAGCTTCATGCCGTAAACAGGGAGGTCAGTTTCATTCACCAGCCAGCTCTGGAAACAACAGAAAGAAAAGTAGTTTCGTTTATAAGCCAGCTCTGGAAACAGACAGGGAGGTCCGTTTCGTTCACCAGCCAGCTCTGGAAACAGACAAAAACAAAAAAAAGTTTCATATATAAGCCAGCTCAGGAAACAGACAGGGAGGTCCGTTTCGTTCACCAGCCAGCTCTGGGAAACAGACCAAAAAAAAAATACAATTACAAAAGTTTCATACATAAGCCAGCTATAGAAAATCTGTCAAAAACTGTAAACTTTAAGGTAACATTTGCAAAACTAATAAGTTTTCCATCTAGCCATGGTCTAGCCTTGCAAACTGATACTCTGTTCATTCTTACCAAAACATATGCATGTATCTACGGTAGTGACCAGTCCTTTCATCTTTGTCCTACCACTTGCTACATAATGTAATCCAACACCACTGGGTATCTGCTACAGCACCAGTTACCATGATTATGATGATAACTGTCCGGTTCAGGTAAGGTAAATCGCCTCCTAGCATATTTACAGGGTACTGCAGGTGCAAACTGACCAGGTATTGCCCAAAGACTCGACTGTTGACATCTGGATGTTGTGCAAGGAATTGTGGGATAGTCTCCAGGGTCTTCCTTCTGAAGCAGTAGAAGACAACGCTGGCGAGGCGGGACGATGTCTGATCTGGTGCTGGTTTTTCAAGGAATCTGGAGATTCTGCAAGAAAGGAGAAGAAACAAGTTCAGGAGTGAATGAGGAATAAAGGAATGAATGTTTTACTTTGTTCTATGCCTTGGTTATACTGTACATCTAGCACTAACTTGATAGTCAATCTCAGGTAGACTTTAGAAATGCCAATGTCCTACTGGATTTAAAGAAACAGGGGCTGGTGCCTCAAGAAACCTGGAGATTCTTTAAGAAAGGAGGAAGAAATAAGAAAGAAGAAAGAAATAAGAAATAATGCTTTGGTTATGCATCTAACATTAACTTGACAGACACACTTTAAGTCTGTTAGACTCTGAAAATCTCTCTCTAAATTCAAAGAAAGCAGCTGATTCCTAAAAAAACCCTACCTGTTAGTGGTTTTCTCCACCTCCACAATCCCTCGTGACTCTGTTCTCTCGGACGGCTCCATCTCGTAGTAGATCGCCAGCTCTCCATCCTGTAATGAATACAACGTTGAATAGATAAAAATCTTTGAAAATAAAATAAAAAATGAATATGTTAATTAATAAAACTATAACACATCTTGTTTGTTTATTCATGTTGGCAGACAAGATAAAAACTGGACCAAAAATTCCAGAATGTTGTATTTGTGTAACATTACATCACAGAAGCATGGTTTATTCATCATTTGTCAAAGATATGCAGGAGTTGGACTAATTTCCTCTGCAAACTGGTCACTCACCTTGAGTTTAAATAACTCATATATAACTCACCTTGAGTTTGAAGTAGTCCAGGACTTGTGAGAGGTCAAACTTCTGGTCCTGAAACAGCATGTCTCCTGCAACCTACCAGGAACCATACACATGTAACGTTACATCAGTACAATGATATCATAATTTTTGTTTTCTCCTGCAAAATACATGAAGCTAACATTGGATCTGCATTGAATCTGAAAATGCTTAAATCTGTCCATATGTACACGTACATAAATAATAAAATGAAAAGTCAACATGACAACATAATGTGTCCTACATCTCAAAACTGTACTTTTCATGTTTTGTTACCAGCTGCAGAATATGAGCTCTTAAGTCTTATTCATGTAACTTTCTATAATCAGCCACTTTCAGCTTTGAATACATGGGTGTCTGTGGAATGTATTATTTGTAATAATGAATCCAAATTATACACTCAGATACAACACTTGAAACTCAATGTCTTATTACTATACAGGCAAACAAATAAACAAACAAACAGTATACACACATACCACCATGACATCATCGTTGACCCGTTTGTTGCGTAGAACGAGCTCGAAGTCTGCCACGGAACCGAGTCGCGTCTCAAACGTTGTGGAACCGTCGTTCACGATGTTCTCCACCGGGAAGTCGTGTGCAGTCGCCCAGCGCTCAAAGTGCTTGTACCTGGGGGAGGGTCAAGGTAGATTAATCGTCTGTTTGCATATTCATTCATTTGTTCATTCGTTAGTTCGTCCATTCATTCATTCTCTTTATCTATACATTCACCATTGATATATAAGTTCATTTATTCAAGAGAAAGGGAAAACTGACGCTAATTGATTCATTCATTCATTGATCTATCCATTCATCCATTCACTCATTCATTCACCCATCCATCCATTCATTCATCCATTCATCTATCCAATCACCCACCTACCCACCCATCCATCCAACCATGCATTTATCCATTCATTCATTCCAAATATCTTGATCGATATTTACAATTATAGTACTCTCTATATTTATAGCACAGTTGACTTACTTGTCTGCATTTGTCACCAGGTACACATCGCTAAATAGTTGCCTCCTGGAAAACAAGACAAGTACACACAAACAAATGAAGACTTTTGGCATCCATATAACATGAGCTTTAGCTAATGCTACTTGCTAGCTAGGGTCACATTTCCAAATTGGGCCTGGCCAGGCTGCTTTGTGAATGAAAAACTCATATCAAGACAAACAGCACTCACAATTAGAAACTGCCTGGTTGGACCCCAGGCTTGGGCACTATGGCTATGTGATTGCTAGTATACTCCTACTGTGCTCGGTGGCATTGAGTTTTACTCTATGATAGTTGTAGAGCTTGAATGCCTGGATACGCATCAGAAGTATTCCGGTAACTCAGGTGTTGAGGGTGTCCCACCGGAAGGGTTAGGGTTAGGGTTAGGGTTAGGGTTAGGGTTAGGGTTAGGGTTAGGATTAGGGTTGGGGTTAGGGTTGGGGTTAGGATTAGGGTTTAGGGTTAAGGTTAAGGTTAGGGTTAAGGCTAGGGTTAGGGTTAGGGTTAGGATTAGGGGGTTAGGGTTTAGGGTTAGGGTTAGGGTTAGGGTTAAGGCTAGGGTTAGGGCTAGGGCTAGGGTTTGGGTTAGGGTTAGGGTTAGGGTTAGGGTTAGGGTTAGGGGGTTAGGGTTAGGGTTGTAGTTAACTCACGTATTGAGAGCGTCCCACCAGAAGGTGAGGATCTTCCTGCCCCCCACCCCGGGGAGGAGGGCCTTCGGGACACCCTGTAGGTTGGTGTATCTTCCCGACGAATCCTTCTGGAACAAGAAATCAGAAATTGCAGATTTGAGTGTTTGGTGCATCAGTCCATGTTTTGGAACTGTACTATATGATCATAGGGAAATTCCTATAACTACTAAGTACCACAGTGACTGTAGGTTTGGGTATCTGCCTAGACGAATCCTTCTGGAACAAGAAACCAGACATTTTTAGACTTCCAGCCAGCTCCACACATTATATCAACTCCAGCACTGCGGTGATTCTCTAGCCTCTACCAGGCTTCGGGAGGCGACTGGAGAAGGTAGAAATTGGCCAAATAGAGAGAGATAACATGCCGAGGGAGTTGGTCTGCTGGAGAGTACGGGTGCAC